CCCGCCCCGAGTTCGAGCTGCTCAGCTAGTGATGAATCAAATATTTACAGGTGCATGTTCAACGAAACTAAAATTGATCCATGCTGCCCAACATTCAAGAGCATACTTGGTACTAGTTGCCCTTGTTATAAATATGCAGAGAATTTGGATAATCAAGTGTTAATTACTATTGAATCTTATTGTGATGTTGATAGCCCTTGCAAGGGTGTTCAAGTAAGTTATAACCCCCTTCTATCATTTTTTTATATGTCGTTTAAGATTTTGACACACTTTTAATAGCACTAATCATGATGTGTATTTGACTAAATTATCCTTACTTTTTCCATAAGTGAGTGATAAATGATTGTACGTCTTCTTCAAACGTTAAGGGTGGAATTCACTCCAATAATTACAATATTTTTTCAAGTGAAATGCATGTCCAAGCATAATTTCAAATATCATTTTTAAAATTAATTCCAAGTATTACTTTTTTCAAAAAATTACACTTTTTAGTCCAAGCAGTTCATTGTTTTCTTTTTCTTTTTCAAATTGTTTCTATAATTGGTGAAGTAGTTCTTCATTTAATAATATATACAGTGCCTAATGCTGCATTATGTTAATTAATTTCAGGTGATTAAGCTGTCCAAGGAAGAGGAGAAGAAGAAGAAGTAAAAATAAAGTTTTAATGTTTAATTCCAGATCATTTATTAGTAGATGATTTGCTATTAATTATCCTTTATGTTGAAAGTCTCTAGGTTATGTTTTTGGTCTTCCTTGTTGTGTTTCAGAAATAATTTGCCATATATGTCAAAATCTTAGTACTAATAATAAGAATATTATAATATATAAAATCTCTCATCTAGTAGTATCCTTTCATCAAATCTTGTTTATTTTCGTCAACTGTTGATTTTTTCCTGATTCTATACAATGTTGATCTAATTATATTTGGAAAAATCATGATTTACAGTCAAACTTGGAATATATCTTACTATATTTTATCTTTTTGAATATTAATTCTTTTCTAGGTAATGGTTAACTATAAGCATCGACTAACTCTGTGCCCGCAGTCGTGGTAATACAGATTACGTAAGCGTTATCCGAAATGATTAGGCCTGAAGCGTCTGTAGGGCCTATAATCTTTTTTATTAAGAGGTTTATGATTTATTAAAAGCCTTGACATCCCTCTCTTTTCTTCACTCCAGTTTTGTACCAAAAAAACTTGCACAATTGAAATAAGATCATAACTTAGCTATCAAAGCCGGCTTTTGGGGCAGTTTTACGTGTTCAACTGAATATATTGCATTTGCCTCAAACTATGTTGGAGGGTCTCCTGGAAACAGCCTCTCTGCCTCTCGGGGTAGAGGTAAGGTCTGCGTACATATTACCCTTCCCAGACCCCACTTGTGGGATTACACTGGGTTGTTGTTGTTGTTGTGCCTCAAACTATGTTGCATATGAAATAATCTGAAAACATAAAAATAAAATAATAAGAACAAACTGAACATGTTGAACCCATTGATTCTAAATTCAGTTCGATTTAGCAGCAAAATCGCGACGATTCATGTTTGACTTTAAGCCAATTCTTCATGTATAGAATGAACAATAGTTTAGGGCAAAGATCACTTCTAGTTTGCGACCGAAATTTTATATATATATTTTTCAGTTATTATTTTGAGAGCAGCTATATAATATCATTTTTTCAATACTTTGAGATAATTTGTAACAAAGTAATGTACAAATTTTATTGCATCTTCAATTTTAAATCTAAATTTAGAGGGCAGCTATCAAAAGAATGATGACTATTTTGATAAAGCACATGGTCATGAAGCCAATTATTGATGTCATTTATTCGAATTTAAAAGCTAGCCCACTTTTAAAAAAGTAGCCTCATTCTTAGTTAACTACCCGCCACCCGGTTTGTACATATTGTCATATAGCCAAATACTAATGGAAGGTCTATAGACCTTTTCCACCTGTAATATTAATCCCATTGCACACTTTGAAATACCCCTCTTTTTCAAGTCACATTATTCTTATTAGACCGTTAAAAAAAAAATATTTTTACTATTAAAAATAATTTAACTTTTTAAACTTTTTATTTTATTTATTTTACCTTTAATGTGAAGCTTTTACAACCAGCTATCTCATCTAAATCAAAACTAAGGGAGTAGTAAAATATGAAATTGCATAATTCTGTTCAAGTTCAAAACAACAAACCCATTAATTTTTTACAAGTAGTGTCCGGGGAGAATGAGATGTTCGCAACCTTACACCTACCCTAGAAGGGCGGGGAAGAAAGACCGATGGACGGCTCAAGTTCAAACCGGAAAAAGAAAGGGAAAAAAAACAAGTTGTAGACGCACAAAAATTCAGTACCATTTAGACACCTCATTTAAGTCTTCACAAAGGCATAATTTAAAACTGGTAGTTCATTACATAAAAGGTTACATACTAAAGGGAGGTGGAGGATGCATTTTGTTCCTCTATTTTTTTTCATTTTTTTTTCTCCCAGTTTCATCAAAAACATAAACCTCCCTTTACTAAAAAGTACAAAACACTAGCTAAATTAACTTAAAATCCATAATACATACTTAAGACTCTTAGACTCAGACCAAACATAACCAAAGATCAATTCCAAATTCCATGTTCAGAGTTTGTTTTTGTACCAGAAAACACCTTTGCCTTGAGATGCTTCATCTTTCTCAACATAGATACACTCTTTTGCTTCCCTCCACATTGCCTTGAAAACCGGAGTTCCGTCAAATTGGTAGTAGTCTCCGAGTAATGGCTTGACTGCTTTTGTTGCCTCCATCGCGTTGTAGTGTGGCATGGTTGAGAACAGATGGTGGACTACGTGAGTATCGGTGATGTTGTGGAAGACCTTGTTTAGAATGCCATAGTCTCTGTCGACTGTTGCCAAAGCTCCCCTTAGCCAATCCCATTCGGATGAATCGTAGTGAGGCAATGACGGGTGAGTGTGCTGCAAATAAGTGATCAAGACAAGGAAGCCGTTCACAATTAGGAGGGGTACGCCATACATACACACGAGCCAAGCTAGCCCTTTAACTAAGGCAATACGATATAGCAGATAACCAGCTCCAAGAACTCCAGCATCAGAAAGGAAGATCTGTAGCCTCTCGCGGTCATTGTAGATTGGGCCGTAAGGGTCATAGTGACATGCAAAGCGATCATAATGTCGGCCAGAAACATTGAAAGCCAAGTACAAAGGCCAGCCAAGAGTAAGGGTGATTGTAAGTGAAATCACCCGGCCTGGTGGATTGTTCAAGTACTTGGAATACCATCCGAGTTGTGATTTCGGCTTAGGCACAAAGACCTCATCACGCTCGAGAGAGCCAGTGTTGGAGTGGTGGCGACGATGACTATATTTCCAAGAGAAGTAAGGAACCATCAGAGCAGAGTGGAGGATTAGCCCGACAGCGTCATCGACCCACTGGTAGTCACTAAAGGCATGGTGGCCACATTCGTGCGCAATAACCCAAATACCAGTGCAAACACAACCCTGACAAATCCAGTAAATAGGCCATGCAAGGTAGCAATACGGGGACGGGAGGAGGTGGAAATAAGTGGTGGCAATGTAGTAGAAGACGGACACCAGTAAAAGGTCATACACAACATAGGAGAACGAACGAACGAGAGAACGCTGAAAGCAGTGAGGTGGGATGGCCTTCTTGATATCACCAACTGTGAAAGGAGGCTTTGAGGTTGGCACCTTTTCAAGAGGATTCTTCTTTTCGCCAGTCTTGCCGGTTACAACAGACATATTACCGCCGGCTCCCATTTTCGCTTCCTTACCTCTTCAATCCCGAACCTGCAAAATGTACATTAATCTTGTTTCACTTAACAGTTCGTCGATTATTATCTTGATATAAGATAATCTGTAAGCAAACAGATGAATGCATAAAAGAAAGAAAAATTAAACATTCGCAAAATAAGTGTGGTCCCTTAATGTTTCCACCCCACAATCAATAAAGTCAAGAACCAAATCAGACATGAAAGGTCTTAATTTAGAGATCAAACTATCACTGGCAGAGAAGAAGTACCAAATCAACAATTCAATCTTCTGACAGAAACTTGAGGTCTATAGCAACAGGGTCCACATAAAATTCCAAAACAGAAATATGAGGCCCCAAATTTCCACTGATTTATAACTCAAATACAGAAACATAAATAAGACTAATACATCAAAAGATTTACATTACACAGATACACAATCATAATACAGCACATTACAGCTATTCCTACTAAATGCCCAAATCAAAGTCATTATCACCACAAATTTTCATGCATCATAGAACTAAGGTTGCAAAGATCAAAGATCAGGAAATATATAGATCATAACCAAGTGCAGAGTGCCCAAACCAAAGGGTAGGCCAATGCACAAGACTTCCCGCCAATTGTTAGTGGCTGCTTCCACGGCTCGAACCCAAAGGTACAAAAAATAATGAATAACTGATAATCAGACAGCAAACCAACCACTTATACTGGATGGGGAAAAACTGAATGAATTGAAACTTTTTCATGGAAAAGGAATGTTTCATCATTTGTATATTAGGTTACACACACACACATACAAAAGAAAATTGACAACAAAAAGTTGGCATCAATCATTCATTTTTCATCACTGAAGTAGAGTGTACCTAATGCCTAAAGAATATTAGTCCAGTTTCCACATTTAAACAACTTGACAAGAAGTAGATTAATAAGAGTTTCCTAAAGAAAAAAAATCATCACATGCATAAACTCAGTTGACATCTCACCAAACTTTTAGTCATCTCATTCGTGTAACACGAGTCGTGTTCTAGGCCAATAAGTACTACTTTTTTTATCAAATTCAACATATCATTACATTAAGCAATTTCCAAACATACTCAAATCTCTCAACCAGTCAAAACTCAACAACTAATGACTATATAGGTAACTCAATTAAGTTTACTATAATTATAATTAGTGTTTGCTTTCTCTGAAATAACTTGTATATGTAACTTCCATTACTACACGTTATTCTACTTTTTCCAGTTCCTTCAAATTCAAAACAATGCAACAGTGATGTGAAAACATCTATACAACTAATTAAAGAAGAAAAATTAGTCTGGTGCAACTCAACAATAATGAAGGTTATTGACTTTTTTAAGCTAGGACCATTGGACCCTCATCTATTAATTAAAAGGTAAACCATTAATAACATCAACCAACCAACCAATTAAAATAGACAGCAAAAGCAATTAAAAAGTACAGCACTACTACAGCATTAATTTTCCAAGTCATAAATCACTTCTCACATCCACCTCTAGAGGAAATCATATCACAGAAGAGAACTAAAATGTGGAAGGTGTGCCACATACTTTTGTTGTGCACTTGTTTACATACCTTTTACAGAGCTGAAGAGAGAGAATAGGCTCTTTTGTGGCCGGCGAACCTATGCTATGCTATATAAAGAGGGGTTATCGGCACCCGTAAAATTCAGCAAATATTCTACGTATACAAGTATATATGTCTTTAGAGAATAGTGATATATCGGACACTCTATATACAAAACAAATTTTGATTGAATCCAAAAGTGCTACTTGACCTTCAAATCCTGGGTCCGGCTATGTTTGTGGCAAGTATATAGAGTTACTCAAAGAAGTGAAGCACCCGCACCGCGGTACCGGATATAGCAAGTACCAAGTGGCAAAGTCTAGGTCCACGCAAGCTAACCCAAACCCCACCTTGATTAAAAAGGGAAAAAAAAAGATAAAACTACAACAACGACAACAACAACAACATACCCAGTGAAATAGTGTATACGCAATCCTTACCCTACCTCATGAGTATAGAAAGGATAGAGAAGTTGTTTCTAATAGACCATCGGCTCAGAAAA